CATATGAAGCCTACGAACAGCGACAGAATGACAGCTCTCCTTTCGTGGATAAAGTGCTGCTGTGGATTCATTACAATTATTATTTTGTCAATTTGATAATTAATTCTAACAGAGCGGTCGACAGGCTTCCTTTCTCTCCTGTAGTCACGTACCAACGTGTCCGTGCGGCGCTATATGTAGTATTCACTCCTTCTAGTGTGCTCTGCTGCAGAGGCTGAGGTGTGCTGCACTGCTGGCAGGCACGGGCTGTCAGGCTGCTATTGAAACAATCAGGGTTGCCAAAAAACGGCCAAATTCCCGAAATTTGGCCGTATATAACATTCGCCTGGCGTAAAAAATAAAAAGTTATTTTGGCTGAATTTTGGCCGTATAAAAATTCGCCTGCCGTATAACAATTCGCCTGGCCGTAACATATAAAAAGTCACGGCCAAACTATGATTTGGCGCCGAATTTGGCCGAATTTGTGAAAAGATTACATTTTTGCAACGATGGTGTTAGAACTGGTACTCGCTCCCACTCGATTAACTCATGGGATCTCGATCCAATCGAGTACTATAAGGCCGAGAGGGGGAGCGAGTACCAGTCTACGATGGTGTAGCCATCTCGTTATTTGTAATACATCCGCCATCCTCGCCACTATTATCTGCCGATCCGATTAGAATTTGGCCGAATTTTGGCCGATATTGGAAAAAAGTTTGACCGAATTTGGCCGTGAGATGGCTGTGTTTTGCCGTGCAGTCTGTCGACTAATCTGGGCAACCTCTGGAAACAATGGAATTTCAATGAAACAAAGTTTTTTGCGCGCGCGCTTGATTTTTTTCACGCGGCGTGACTTAAACCGCACAGCAATCACCGCAATGTGGCCACAAGGCCCGTTGCTCTGACTCGATTTGCTGAACAGCAAGCTTTAAACGGTCTATGCAGACCCGCACACAGGCGCACTCTGCTGTACGTGTGTGCGCGTGCTGTGCCATTCACTCTGTGGCACAGCCATGCCTTTCTGATTGCCCTCCTATTATTTATCAAGATAAATGGTTTTCAGCCTTAAGTGGAACATTTCACTTTTACCAAGCAGTAGTGTGTGGAACTCGGGAACTCTGTCAGATGTAAAAGAGATGTACGTGCACGTACAGGAAGTATGCTCTTATGTATATATTATACATTATATATGTATATAATATATAAACATACTTACGTACGTCGCACGCACGCAGCGGCACACATATACATGCGCACGCACGGCCCACACACATAGGCACACACGTACATACGTACGTGCGTACATGCGTGCATACGTACGTACATATACTACATACGTGTGTGTGTGAGTGTGTGTGTGAGTGTGTGTGTGTGTGTGCGTGCGTGCGTGCGTGCGTGCGTGCGTGCGTGCGTGTGTGCGTGTGCGCGCGCGCGTGTGTGTGCGCGTGTGTATGTATCCATGCGTTCGTACGCGCATGCGTGCGTGCGAGTGTGTATTTATATGTATATGTGTATCATGTATATAAATATATATCAAGAGCGTATTAAGAAGGTTATTATTTGTATATATGTATATAATATGTTGCTCCCCTGCGAGCGTAAATTCAATGTGGATGTGTGTGTATGTAATGTATGAAGGTAACCTTCAAGCACACGTATGAAGCGGGTAGCTTGATTAGCGATGTATGTGTGGTTCGAACGATCGAGCCGCACGGACTTGGTGTACGTGAAACGCCGCAACTGCTACCTAATGTCTCCTCGCGCTAGGCACTCTACTTTCATTGTCTCTCTCCCCACCCGGCAGCTAATTTGGTTCCTTTCGGCGAGTTAAGGGAAGTAACATGCGTGCTCGCACGATATCGAAGTCCAAAGTTGGTACATAATGCATGTGCGTGCATGCATTACGAGGAGCTACTCTGTTATTTCTGGTGAAGTCATTAAGAAGCGAGATTGATGGGGGGGGGCATGCAGGTGAATGCAAATCAATTCAGTTTGGTGCTGGGTAGGTGCATGTTTGACTTCCACTAACTATTCCTGAGGTGCCACCCTCTGTGCTTAGCATGATGTCTTGCAACCTGGAAGCCATCTACCGTTTCTTTTCATGCGAGTAGTTGGTTTCGTGTCTAGAATCATGTACTTGAATTAGAATTGAATAGACATGAACTAGAATTATGACCATATATTCTAAATCATTTATTCATCGTCTTGCTCATAGTGTTTATAAACATCCATATTGAAATAAATTTATGAGAAAAAACGCTAATAAACGTGTCTAAATTGAGTTTCTGGGTGGAGACAGATCCATTGAGTAATTATTGTGGTTGACATGTGTCCAAATTTCTAGACATGAAGATGCAGATATGTATGTAGCTGTAGATTTAGATTTTGTGATACAGAATTATTTGTAGATGGTAATGTAGATGTAAAATAGGATTTAGGCACTGAAGATGTAGAGTTAGATGTAGCTATATGGATGCAGGTGTAGATGTAGTTGTTGAAGATGTGGATATAGATGTCGGTGTACAGGTAGATGCAGAAGATGTAGATGTAGAAGACGTAAATGAGAATGTAGATTGGACGAAGATGTAGAGATGTATTTCCAATTTACTGGATGTATTTACTCCCAAACAAATCCCATGAAAATGTATCATTTCAACATTGTACTCTTTGAACTTGTCTGCATATCTATAATAATATATATATACATATACATACATACATACGCACGCACGCACGCACGCACGCACGCACGCACGCACGCACGCACGCACGCACGCACGCACGCACATACATACATACTTAATCGTACGAATGTTATAAATAATATTTTATCCGCACCTTTGCAAGGCCAAATCGTGAGCAATTCCTATATGTACTACACAGCTTGCCGCCACTATCCAAAATAGCAATAAAGGGGAAGTTTCTAGTGTATGTGTTGTAGTGTATTTCCGGTTAGCTTGTATGGACAAGATACTAATTTTGCAGTTTCTTTCAAGACCAACAGTTCACCTATAGTTCAATTTATTGTTTAATTATGATTTGTTACAAATTATTATGGGTTAATTCTGCTTTGAAGGCAAATACCGTTCATCTATAATTAGCTCACCTTGACATCGTCTAGATGAGCTATTGCCATGGGTCGTCGTACATCGTACGTCTGTCCGTCCGTCCGTCCGTCCGTCCGTCTATCAACATTTGGCTACAGTACTGTAGTATAGTTGTTGGGATAGGCATTGCTCAGATTGATGGATGGATGGATGCATGCCTGCATGGATGGATGGATGGATGGATGAATAGATAGATGTATGGATGGATAGATGGATGGATGGATGGAAGCATGGATGGATGGATGGATGCATGGATGAATGGATGGATGAATTGATGAATGGATGGATGGATAAATAGATGAATAGAACGAAAGAAAAAGATAGATAGATGGATAGAGGCATGGATGGATGGATGGATAGATGGATTGATAGACAGAGATAGCAGAGACCTTGCAATAACTGGTAGGCCTTACCTTCCGATGGATACTGCTTTATTGGGGTGATGCTCCAACTGATATCTGAATCGAGTCTGCTACTGCTCAAACTGTAATGCCACAATATTTATCGTTAGATGTGACAATTTCATGTATTTAAATAAAATAAGGAAACTATAATGCAAATGTCAGATTATACTAGTTTTAAGTTAATAAGTTACATGATATCAAGAGCTAATAATTTTAGCTCTTGATTATATGCAACATTATAGATTTATAATTACAATAACATGTATAAGCAATACTGTTCCCAAGTAAACATTTTTACAGGACGTTTATTTGTTTATTACCGTTTACAATGAGTTGGCAAAGGATGTAGTACGTGAAATACGAACTATCTCATTCAACAATATTATTTCAATTATATCATGTTAATATTAAAAATTCATACAAAATTATAGAAATTCATATTAAAGCCGCACAATGCGCATATTCTCACTCACTCATTTGTGTCCTTTTTTTGTGGTGAGCTACAGTGTCATTGACACTTTCATTAATAGTTCCTGTCAAGTTGTTTTCTGTTCAGTTATCTGTGTCGATGAAAAAACTGATTAATTGTTGGTGTTTGATATAAAAGTCACTATCACTCGCTTGATTCTTAGTGGCGATGACGTAAGTTTTATGTTTGATGGGTATTTTGCACGCCCCACATCGGAAGCTTGTCATCGTTGCAACAATTGAAGATTGAAGGTTGCTAATTCCAGTTAACTATGCATTATTTATTGTACATGTTAGTGTTTATGTTTTTAATTGTGTTATAATAGTAGTTAGTCGATGATTATAATTTCACTGTGTTGACAAGCTTCCTGTGTGGAGAAACTCCGTTCTGGTGTCATCACTACGTATGGAAGTACAAGCAAACACACTACCGCTGCTTTTTTTAAAGGCACGACTTGTTTCCTATTGATTGTAGCTGTAGCAGCTGCTATTTGACCTAAATAGTAAATACATCACCATATAAGTTATAATACCCCTAAAAGATGTATTATTATTATCCTGTAAATTACATTTTGAGAAGAAGAAATTGAAAGAAATGAAAACAAAATCAAACCTGAAAATAAAATTTACAAATTTGAAATTTTGCTCAATTTTAAATAAGTGTCGTTATTTGTATCTCATGTTACAATTATTTCAATGTTAGCCCGTGTTCGCTACAGCGAAAATCCCATGTGTGATATTGCATGTACATGTAAGCTCAGAATATGCATTAATAGGAGCCGTCACATCCGAATAAATGCGATTTCTCTGGTCTACATCATTTATGCCCTTGTGAATCTATGCTCATGTTGCAGCTCATGTGGCAGCGCATCTGTAAGCCCCTTGACCTATAGCTGCGTGTGCTTTATACACTGGATGTAACACTGCCGTCTTTGCTGTGCGTGCGTGCTTACACTACTAAGGCTGAGAGGGTCTATGTCCACCAGGGTACTGCCGGAACGTACGCTGGCTACTATCTAATATGCCGGACCGTACCTCGCCTACTCCACTAACGAGTCTAGGGAGTCGCCTACGCCTACTCCCGAACCCTAACGGTAACCCTAACACTAACCCTAACCATATCAGATAGTTACCAGGGTACGTTCCGGTATACCGGACCGTACCCAGGGTACGTTCCGGCAGTCCCCTGCGGGACATAGTTCCTATGAGCACTATACTAAGCGTAGGCGTTCGTTGCTCGTGTATATATGTATTTATGTCGTCGTCATCGCTACTCACGTCGGACGTGCGCCGCTGTAGTGCGGCAATCCTGTATATATAGCATGCCGTCCCCTCCACATCATACCATTAGTATCATACCATCATACCACATCATACACCATACCAGTAGACCGCACACTGGCGTTTGACTGTCGGTGTAAGTCCGATTCGCATCACGCCCCCAACATCAATCACTCACGTCTCGTGGACAGTGGAGATATGCGCGAGCTAGACCTGTCCGAGCTGCCTGTCGTGTCGAGGGGGGCTTCGGCGATGCTGAGCTGTTCTAGGCTCTCTCAGCATCACTGTCGCTCTGTTACGCATTGTTTGCCAATCACATCTACATGTTCACGTATCAGCAGAAATGCCGACTAATCTGGACAGCGTGTAAGTAACGTTTACTCGCTGTAGCTTTAATGATTGACGCTACGGGTGGTCACCGCGTAGACGGGCGTGCTGCGGCCATCTATGCGCCAACAGAATACGTAGGGATTAACTAGCGGAGGCAGTCTAAGTCCCATTATACTGGATGAGGTTGGTGCGAATAGTGGTTTTCTCCAGTGTGCCCTTCCTGTAATTTCGTGCGTGCTAAAAATAGCAAGTATTACTGATATACGTGTAGACTTGTAGGCATTTGGAACAGTAACGGCAATACGCACCTAAATATAAATTATATATTAATACATAATTTATATATATGTATGTATATATACCATATTATGGTATATATATATATATATATATGTATATATATGCCCTATAGGCCTATGTATTTCATTGTGCTAATAATAGCTAATAATACATTGTACCTGCTGTGGTACCTGCTGCTCTATACATGTAGCGCTTAACTCCTCCACAGGCTTCTGGTGGCAACCGATGGGCAACATATATTGTGCTATATTTAGAACAATATGTGTATATATAGGGGTATACATCCGCTGACACACAGCCCACGTCGTTACCTGTTTCTAATCTTGTTACCTGTTTCGAATCTCGTTAACCGAGAACCGAATAGATAATTATCGGATTCAGAAGCTGATGGGTTGATGCACACTGACTCGTCGTTACCTGTTGCCGCAGCTGCTTGGTCGGTACTCCTTGCCCTGGTGCGATCCTGGCTTCACCCGAAGGAAGTCGGGCAGTTCGAGGTCCTTCAGAGACAAGCTGCCTCGTTGATCGTCCATGCGGCGGCTCTGTGCCTTCGCTACCATGTCAAGCATCACTGAAGCAGCAGCGAACCGCAAGTCAACTAACAACATTCTCCATTCGAATTCTTTACATTAGGAGAGAAATAACGACGCAGCATCCGCGTGTGTGCACAATGCGTGCGTTCGTGCGCGTATGTGTGTACGTGCCTTAGTGCGTGTGTGCGTGCGTGCAATGACACGTGCCAACTACAACATTCTCCATTCCCATTCAAGCAAACGCGCAACATTTTGGAAATGTAGGTCAGGTAGCTGCAACATTGAAAATGACAACTGGGATGCACTCCTTGTATATTTATTGTATTGTATATTAATTGCTTAATAAACACAAGGACATGCATGTGGTATGTGTGTGCGTGTGTGTGTGCGCACGTACGAGTATGTATACGCGTGAGCGTGCGTGCATGTATGTGTATGCACGTATGTCACTCACCATCGGTGTCGTCCGCGCGTCTGAACGTTCTTGTCTTTATCGGCCGCGGCGAGTTACCCGTCGAAGCGCGGTGCGTCAGCTCCGACCCTGGCGGCTTGACCTTTGTGTGACCTTTCTTGTCGCGCGCCTCGGGCGTCCAGCGTGAGAACGGACTGCATATGCTGAACTTGCCCTCACCCTGAAAAGCAGATCGTACTTAATTATTACACTTAATTAATACTAATAAGTAACACAGCTGTTAGACTTGCCCTCACCCTGAAGAGCATATCATACTTAATTATTACACTTCATTAATACTAATAAGTAACACAGCTGTTAAACTTACTCTCACCCTGAAGAGCAGATCGTACTTAATTATTACACTTAATACTAATAAGTAACACAGCTTACTCTAAGTAACACACAGTACTAACAGTACTACAGTACACATTAACACAGCTAACGTGACTTACTCTCATCCTGGAGAGCATACAAGAAGATTACACTTAATTAATACTAAAAAGATGCTTAAGTATTTAATAATCCAAAACTGCCAATACTGTATATAGTTGAGAGTTCAGGTTAGGTAGGTTAGGATTAGGGTTAGGGTTATGGCTAGGATTACTGTTAGGGTAGCGGTTAAGATTAGCTTTAGGATTAGGGTCAGGGTTAGAATTTGGGTTTAGAGTTAGGGCTACGGTTAAGGTCAATATTAGCATTAGAGTAAGGGTAGGGTTAGGGATATGGTTAGGGTTAGGGTTAGGGTTATGGTTAGAGTTAGGGTTATGGTTAGGTTTATGGTTAGGGTTAAGGTAACGATTATGGTTAGGGTTACTTATGATTATGGTTAGGGCTAGAGTTAAGGTTAGGCTAATTAGGGTTAAGGTTATGGTTAAGGTTATGGTTATGGTTATTGTTAGGGTTAGGGTTAGGGCTAGGGCTCCAATAGCCTCTGATAAGCAGCCACACTAGTGCTGCACGTAACCACCACAAAACACAACCTCAGAAACACAACAACTTACACTGCTGCTGTCGTCGCTGCTCGGACGCTGCCGAGACGCATCCTTTTTGCGAATGCTCGGCAGCGGAGGTTTTCCGCTCAGCCTGCTGACAGGGGGCGCTGCTGCTCCGAGCTCCCTCACGACGATCTTCTCGCCATCGATTGTCACCACGCTCGCTGACGACTCGAGCGGGACCATGCTTCCTGCCTGTCGTCGTACGAGAACAAGTGGGTTTTCAAACTATTGCAAATGACCAGCTGGTGTTCCTACTACCAGAGGCGAATAATGACTAATTGACAATTGACAATTTGTCATATTATTCAGCCCTGCTACTACCTAGCTGACATACACACTTGCTAGCTGGGCTACACTGTACTGGGGTTACTGGTGACTTTTTATGCAGGTGATATTTGCATGCTGACAGGGTGGGGCACAAACTGTAACAGCGTTACTAGTGGGTTATATGTACAGGGAATAGTCAATATAGCAATATACGAAATTCAATAGACACACGCGTATCGATGCAATTAAACGCGAGTAATCAGGCGCATCGATATGCATATCGTCAGATATCATCAGATATGATGCATCGATACTAGGAGTGTCAGAATACAGATTTATAGTCTTATTATAGATTTACAGTCTTTATTATGACACTCCTGTCAATACAGCATCCCATAATTATTAGCAACTTTATCTGACCAGGCACACCGACACTGCCTCAGAATCTGGCTTCTGATTGAATCATGAGTAGCCAAACGTATCGATGCACATATTGTCGAGGTTTGCATCGCGATGCATCGACAATTAATACACCTCCCTAATTACTAGTGACTTATATCTCACCAGGCACACGGACACTGCCTTAGATTGTCTCATTACACCCGCTACTTATCATTAATTTATTATTAATTATTAGTGAATTATATCTCACCAGGCACACGGACACGGTATTATTATACCCATATATAACAATATGGGTATATAGAACCTGATGTGTATATTTATAACAGTAGAGGGCTTTACACTACAAGGGTTCTCAATATGTAATCGCATAAACGCGTACGGAAAAACCAGGGACGCATCCCACTGCAGATTATCTCTTCAAGCCCATTTCTATGGCATTATCATGCTATTCCAATAATAAAACTATATTTAAATAAAATATCATAATGATAAGATAACGTAACATTTTCAATTAAAGAATGCTACTGCGTAGCAGATTCGGATGGTACGCTGATTTCTGTGCATGTGGGCGGCTGTTATTGTACGTCTCACGTGTCATCTCTAGTTGCAGCAACCCACGTACAGACGCATTGCCGCATGGGCCATACCAAATTAACACAATCAGTTTTTGCATATGAAGAAGCTTTCATAGAAATGTGATCCTCACATATACGAGTAACATTACATGGCAAACTCTCCTACATACATCTATGACCACCAGTGCTTTCTATTCTAGTCGCCACATAAGTCTTTCAGCATTAAAGACTGATGTACATACATTTAAGAAAGTATCAATTGGTCAGCTCTGAGGTCTATTTTTTAACCATAATAAATTTGTTGATATCATGGCATTGACTGAGAATTTCTACATATTTGTCTTTATACCTCAGCAATTAAGAGTGAAGCTAACGTGTCTGTAAGTCAGGTGCGTTCGTTTATCCCAAGAGAAACATCACCAGCTCGAGTGAAAAGCCTCATAATGGTTGGGTTTTGAAATAACATTATTCTAGTTCCAGATTGACCTACTGTTTTACATCGAGTGTTTTGTGGCAATCACAGGAATACGTGAAGTCCATCTATATTCTATTCCATTGTCATGCACGACAATTGTAGATTAGTATTTATACCAGTATTTGTTCATGTTGAGTAATTTTTTCCGTTTTGTGTTTCAGTTTTTTGGACAAAGCCACGACAGTAAAAAAACCTGAGTATGAACCCACAGAACAGGTGAATTTTTAGTGTTGATTCTTGGAAACTTTCTAGAATGTTTTACCTTTTGCATTTATTTTAATCCTTTATCACATGACCAATTATTATCATGCAGGGGTTTGAAATGCAGCACACTGTCACATGGGCATCCTAGCTGGTTTGTTCTAAAGTGAACTAGGGATAAATATAATCTTTATAGTTTTCAGTTTAATTGCGTTTTTTCTATATGCCAGATTTTGCTCTTGAATATCAATAGGAAGTACCTAAAACCCTGCTTTGCTTTTACTAATTGCTTGTATTTATATGTATGATGTCAATGTTAAGATTGCCTTTTGCACCGAGGAAGTTGTGCTTTTACTGTTTATCTTTGCATTGTTATTATGATTAATTCTGGCTCTATGTAAATGAAAATCACTTACATAGTAGAGTGACAATTAGAATGAAACTATTAGTGGAAGTTAAAATAGTGGAATACGTTATCATTTATATGATTGAAAATGACAATCCCATAGTGTGAAGCCTATGAATATACATCTCATAAACACAACTGATGATATTAATGTGAGAAACCATGATGCCATTCATAACAGACACTGCAAAATTCATTTTTACTCAATATTGATATTAAACAGTAAGCATTTGTTTGTGGTACAGATAATATCACAATTGTCTAAATAAATGCTAAATGCTGGAATCGTGTTGTTGTTTAAGCGGTAATATTAAAAATTAAACTAACGAGTTGTCTTTTTATTCAGGATATCCTGCGATGTCGAGTCCTCACTTCAGGCATATTTGAAACCAGGTTCCAAGTAGACAGGGTCAATTTCCAGTACGTATTCATAAAACATTTGTGCATGTTACACTCTGTCATGAAGCTGCAATGTACCGCTGAAATATTTGTAGCATTGTGGAATCTTACTGTTATATAAAGCGGATACACTGGTCTGACACGTGAAGGGGTCATACAAGACTATTATGTTGGACTGGATAATGAGACTGGGACATGGGACTCTAAAACGAGATTGGTACATAAGGGTGCGACCTGGACGACGCTTCAACATAGTGCAGGCACATGAAACTGTTATGTGATACTGAAACATATCGAACAAGACGATGTTTAATGTGACGGAGATGTAGAACTGTCGACCAAATACTGTTTCCTGAGACTGAGATGTAAAATTCCCAAACAACACTGCTTTGTAAGACTGAGATCTAAATCTGACACATGAGGCTGAGGCATCCGGTACGGTACTGTTACATTAGGCTCGAACGTCAGTCAGCATGTACATCAGTGGAAGAAGGCTATGAACTATGATCTATGATTTATATCTGAAACTATGGGGATCAGTCTGATGAACTCTAACATTGTTATGTTAGTTTGCATCCGAGGGGAGCTAGATCGTGTACGCGACACTGCGCACGTCATATGCGGATGTGACACAACACAGACTGGTGCGCGTGACCGGGCGTAGCGTCGTGGTCTGGTGCGCGTGACCGGGCGTAGCGTTGTGGTCTGGTGCGCGTGACCGGGCGTAGCGTCGTGGTCTGGTGCGCGTGACCGGGCGTAGCGTTGTGGTCTGGTGCGCGTGACCGGGCGTAGCGTCGTGGTCTGGTGCGCGTGACCGGGCGTAGCGTTGTGGTCTGGTGCGCGTGACCGGGCG